CTTCACTGTGCCCGCAGCGTGGAAATTTGGAAAATCGGCATTTGGAAACGCAAAGGTTAGAGGTGGCAGCACCACAACCTTTGTCGTGAAGTGCTAAACATTTAATTTTAGGTTAGAGGTGGCAGCACCACAACCTCTGTCATGAAGTGCTAAACATTTAATTTTATTTTAAATAAAATAAAGGTTTTTAAATTTTAAAGCCTGCGCGAAATGATATGGACAAGTCTCCACAGGAACGGGTTTTGTTGGTTGGATTCTCCATTATCCATGCCCGTGCTGCCATCCACTGGGCACTGCCATCCCTGCCCCTCCTGAATCCTCACCCTGCCCAAAACCAGGCTGGAAACCCCTCCAGCTCCAGAAACCAAACCACCCCAACGTGCCTGGGATTATTTTGTGCCCAGAATGTGCAAGACACAGGATCCCACTCACTTGAATTCCCTCCAAGAACAACCTCACAGAGCTCCAGCAATTAAAGCACAGAGACCTTTCCTCGTGTGCTGAGTTTAATGCTCTGCACTGCAGCAAGATGTCTGCTATTAATGCTGGTTTAACACTGATTTAACACTGATTTGACATTGATTTGACACTGATTTAACATTGATTTGACATTGTTTTAACACTGACTTATTTGACACTGATTTGACACTGATTTGACACTGATCTGACAGTGACTTGACATTGATTTAACATTGATTTAACACTGATTTAACACTGATTTAACACTGATTTGACATTGTTTTAACACTGACTTAACACTGATTTAACACTGATTTGACACTGATTTGACACTGATTTGACACTGATTTAGCACTGATTTAATATTGATTTAATATTGATTTAACACTGATTTAACATTGATTTAATACTGATTTGACATTGATTTAACAGATTTAACATTGATTTGACACTGATCTGACACTGATCTGACACGGACTTAACATTGATTTAACACTGATTTAACATTGATTTGACACTGATTTAACTGATTTAATACTGATTTGACACTGACTTAACACTGACTTAACATTGATTTAATAATGATTTAACACTGATTTGACACTGATTTAACACTGACTTACTGACTTAACATTGATTTAACACTGATTTAACACCGATTTAACACCGATTTACTCACTCCTCCATCCTGACTGCACCACCCTCCTCTTCTCGCTGCTTTTTTTGCTGCAGAATTCCACCCTTGGCTTTGAGTGGCACCTGCAAGAAATGATTATGAAATGCACAAACTATTTTAGAGCCTGAGCATATTGTGTCAAGTATTCCCCAGCCAGGAAAAGGCTCCAAGTTGTTTTAACATCAATTAGAGCACGTGTGCCTCTCAGCCTTTTAACAACCCAGCAGAACCAGCAGATTGAGCTGCCAGGAGCTTGGAAAGCACAGATAATAATTATTTAGGTTTATTCCAGATTAACCAGACAAGCTGTACATGTCAGAGCAGAGCTGCAGCATCCAAAAACCACACCATGGGTGATTGTGGGGATTGTTTTATTGAGGGGATCACAATTTCACACCTGGACAGTGATTCTCCAACCAGAGTTCACTCCCTGACCTCCACTGACCATCAAATATTTCTGTTCTGTGCTTTACCAATAGGTTTTTCTGATCCAAATGGATCATGGATTAATTTAAAACTGCACAGTTTTCCTGATTTGACCTTCCCTGACCATGGAATATTTCTGTTCTAATATTTCTGTTCTGTTCTTTACCAACAGGTTTTTCTGATCCAAAATGGACCATGGAGTAATTTAAAACTGCACAGTTTTCCTGATTTGACCTTCCCTGACCATCAAATATTTCTGTTCTAATATTTCTGTTCTAATATTTCTGTTCTAACCTTTTCCAACAGGTTTTTCTGATCCAAATGGATCATGGATTAGTTTAAAAACTGCAGTTTTCCTGATTTGACCTTGCCTGACCATGGAATATTTCTGTTCTAATATTTCTGTTCTGTTCTTTACCAACAGGTATTTCTGATCCAAAATGGATCATGGATTCATTTAAAACTGCTGTATTTTTTTCTGATTTGACCAAACATTGAAAGAAGTGTCCGTCCCCCTCTTTCCAACACGAATCTGCACAAATTTTGCCAGCAAAATTTCAACATGTGCTGCTTAAAACCACAGAGAAATGTCACTAAAAAGCATTTCTGCTGGGAATTGAAGGAGGCTGTGCCCACAGAGGAGAACCACCTTCATTAACACCTCCCCACATTGCTCTCCTTAGGCCCTGGTACATTTTGGACCACTGACCTCCATCCCAGAGGATGTGAAATCATTTTTACCAGCTCTCTTTAGCACAAAGTGCCCTGTCACAGCAGCTCTGCAGCTGACAGTGACTCACAGCAGGCTCCTCTCTGCACAGATGGCTTTTGCCTTCCTGAGGAACATTTAATGCCAGCCTTGATCCTGATGTGCCTCTCTCTCTCTGCAGATGAATCTGTCAGAATTAACTCTTGTACGAATAAGATCAAAACTCACCCCTTCTCCCTCCTTGCTGCAGGATGTGAATCAGCTCCTCTCTGGCACTGCAGGTTGAACTTTTGCTGGCTCCTCGCAGACACGTGTGGGAGGAAATGCTGAAAGGAGTCCAACAAGCAGTGATTCAGCACACACTGGGCACTCTGCTAATTACTGCTAATTACTGCCTGAGCTGGCTGGGATGCAGCCTCAGAACAGGACAGCACCAACTTTAATCCCTGAGTTTTATTTTAGGTTTATTTTAGGATGACAACTCCAGCAGAATATAAATATAAAATATAAATCCAGCTCTGCCCTGCATTTATAGCAGTTTCAGGTGCAGGCAGGCAGTGAAAACATGGAACTTCCAGGGGGATGAGTGGACCTGAATGAGTCAAGATTATCCTGACAGGAGAGATGTAATTGGATTTCTCTCTTTCTCTTTGGTGCATGTATTTAATAATGAAAGTGATCCAGAAACCCTTCCCAATAACAGCTTAGGCCTCAACACAAACAGAAATATTTCTCCACTGAGAGAAGAGGAGAAAGAGGAGAAAATTTCTCCTTTTCCCTGAGATTCCCATCTCCATTTCAGTGCAGGATTTGGATTCTAACCCCACCCTGAGCCCCTGGATCAGTGCTGTCCTGGGAGGACTGGAGAGAAAGGAGAAATAACACAATTGCACTGCTGAGCTGCCTTCACTCCTGTATTTAAAGCACATCTGAAAGGACAGATTCATCCCTCCTCCTGGACACCACCCATCCCTGTAAGGATCACAGAAATGATAACCAGGCCCTTGCTCAACACTTTACCTCCTGGTTTGGGCTCCCTTCACCATCCAGCCCCACGCTGCAGCCCGGGTCACGATGGGCGGCTGCAATTTTGCTCTTCCACTTCTCATTCTGCATTGCCTCTCTGTCCTTGGCTGCCTTGGGAACAGCCTGGGAGCTGTCTCTGCCTGGTGCCTGACACGTTACTGGAGGTGGAATGTAATCCCTGGATGGCGGAGCCACAGCCTGGTGTAAAAAAATATCAACTCCGGAAAGAGCCTCGTTGGTGTTGTGGGAAGCAGCACCAGAGCCATCCCAGTGTCTTCCTTTAGAATTTCCCTTGGGGAGCAGATTCATCCTGAGCTCCTGGAGCAGCCTGCTCTGCTTTGCCTGGGCCTTCAGCCTGTCCAGCTCCTGCTCAGTCCTGCTCAGGGAGTGCCCAGCCTGCTGCAGCATGCTCTGCATGATCTTCAGGTTCAGCACGCACTTGCTGATGTGCTGCTCGCTCCGGGAGGAGCTGCTCAGCCTGCTGCCAGCATCTCCCCTCATCTGGGACAGCCCAGGGGCTTCTCTCACCCTTTCCTCTTCCTCCTCCTCCTCATCTTCCTCTCCCTCCTCCTCCTCCTCCTCCTCCTCTCCAGTGAAGCCTGTGCTGGATGCTGAGGACTCCTCTTCCTCCTCAGCCTCCCACTGGCTCTGCTCTTGCTCCTGCTGCCTTTCTCCATCTTTCAGGGCCTGGCCTGACCCAGGTCCTCCTTGCAGGAAATCCTGGGGACCTTCTGGGTAACTGGCCAGGATTTCATTCATCTCAAAGCTGCACAGGCTCTCGTCCACATCACTCTCACTGCAGGGAGAGGCTGCTGGCTGCCCCTCAGAGCAGCGCCTGTCCTGCTCAGGGGGCTCTGCTGCCTCCTGCAGCACCACAGCGCTGCTCTCCTGGGGGAAAGCAGAGTCCTTGGGGGCAGGAAAACCACCTGGAAAATGCAATTGGAAACATGGAATCATTCCTCCAGAAATCCAACAATTTGCAATTCTGCTAAATCGGGAATTCAGAAATCCCACGAGCAGCGTTTGACACCTCTGCTGAAAACTCCGCCTGAGCAAAACAGATTTGGAGTCCTGAGTGTACATAAAGTGGCAGCTAAAATCCAAAACCAGCTGCTTCCTATCTTCAACCTGCACCATAAATTCTGTGAGTGCCCCCACTTTAATTGGGATTTCTGTGAGGAACACACGAAGGAACATCCTGCCCCAGGAAACTCACCAGCCTTGTTCATCTCTCTCTCCTGGACTTCCACTGTTCTCTTCTGGAAGCTAAAAGCTGATGCCCAGCAGATGTTGACATCTGCAAGAACAGCAGATCTCTGGGCTTTGGCTATTCCACCACTTTCAGATTTAACCAAGTCCTGTAAAACAAAACAAAAAAAAAAGGAATAAAATACAATTGTATTTGACAGTTCTGTGTCTCTGCCTGCTTTTCTGAGAGCATTGGGTCACCTCCTCTAGATTTAAGCAGAATCTGAATGGACATATCAAAGATGAGAGTGCTGGAAATCACCTTCAGGTCGTTTTTGAGGATATATTGAATATCCTGGAGCTTCATGGAGCGGTTCCTCTGCTTGGGCTCCAACCCTGACTTGACAACATCATAATAGAGCAGGGGGAGCCTGACATCTGCCTGCAGCTGCTGCCCTGAAAGGATGAGCTGCTTCACAGCTGAGTCCTCCACACCTTTCCAGGGAGGGCTCTCTGCAAGACACAAGGGCAGATTTTATGTCACCAGCTGCACTTTAATGCTAATTTTTAAAAAATTACATCATTCCCTAATGTAATTTAAAAAAAAAAAAAAGTGGTAAAATAAAATGTAATAAAATTTAAAAAATCACATTTTCCCTGTCCATTCAGTATTTTACAATTAAAAACAAGCACTGGCATCTCCTCCCTGTCTTATTCCAACAGTGGGTGCTTTCAAGGGAGCTGACAGGAATATCCAGGGGAGAGTGACACTGCAAACAGCCCTGCTCTGGATTCTTCACTGGGATTAATTTTTAGGGTAATTGTTTCTCCCATTTCACTGTCAGAACAGTCAGAGTGAATGCAGAGCAGACATTATCTGTAATAACAGCTACAATAACACAGTAACATTAACTTATCTCCAAGTTATCACACAGATCCAAAACACAAAAGCTGCACAAGCTTGTTTTGAGCAGTGAAAAGACTTAATTGAATGTTTTGCTGTGCTGGTAGGAAGAAGAAAAATAAACAGCAGAAAAACACTTTATTTCTACAATAATTTCATCCCTTAGCCACACAATTCTAAGTTTTTTGATCGCATTTTACAGGAGCTCCCAATAATCTTTGTTATTGTCGTTAATATTTGGGGTTTTTGCCTGGTTTATTTTTTCGGTTTATTTTTGCCTGTTTATTTTTTTAATTTTGCCTGGTTTATTTTTTATCCCAAAGGTGTGCTCTGACCTGTCAGGGCCTCCTGCAGCACTGCACAGAAGCTGTAAACGTCAGATTTGACCGTGCCAGGTTTGCCCAGGACGATTTCAGGGGAGCTCCAGCGGAACAGCTGGGCTGGCACAGGGATTCGGGTCAGGTCACTGTGCTCCCCACTGTCCCTGCTGCAAAAAAAGGGGGAAAATTGGAAATTAGGACATAAAACACACTCAACACCAAGGGCTGTATGTAGGAATTGAACACCTGAGTGTGCTACAGCTTTTAGTTTAATACATCAAAGGTTCGGGGCATTAAAGACATTTACTGCAAATAGAAATGTGCAGTAAATGTATTTTGGCAAAGATTTTCTGGGGAAAGCAACACNCCAACTCATTGAACAGGAAATTGTGATTTTATTAATTTTTTTTTTTTTTTTTTTTTTTTTTTTTTGTCTGAGTTCTTGTGACCTTTGCTGTTATGGAGAGACAAATGTGTTTTAAAGATGCATTTTCATAAACATGGCACAGCTGCCAGACAGGCACTGGAGCACTGGGGAATATCACAACATTTAGAGATTTGAGCTAAAAGAGACAACAGAGTAAGGAAACAATGATTCCTGCATTATTCTGCACACACACTCTGTCAGCTCTCACTGGGTTTAAGCCCAAGATCCTCCCAGCAATGAGAATATTAATGTGTAAATACAACTCTAATTCAGTTTCCAGCACCACAGCAAGTTGCATAAAAAGATTAAACTTCGCCCCAGGGTAAAAATAAAAAGGTTTCAAACAAGTTTTGGCTTTTTAACTGAAACACAGCAAGTACATGAACACTGCATCTGAAATGATCTCAGGCACTGCAATGTCCAAACTAAAATCCTAAATAGCCTCAACTCTCCCAAAAATAATAATTTTGGAATGAGAGATCAACTGAGCCTGAAGAATGGAGGTCCAGCCTTGTGACAGGAGAGCTGCTGGCAAAAATATCAATGCAACAATTTCTGTGCCCCTGCCTCAGAAATGCTTCTGGAAAAAGGACATTTTACCTGGAGCCTGAATTGCTGCATCTGCAGGTGATTTCTGTAAAAATCCTGCACAAACATCTTCAGCTCTGCCCTCAGCATCTGAGGTCTGAAAAGGGGAAAAAGAGAATTTAATTCCATTTTTAACAGAGCAGCTGCAAAGGGCAGGACAACCCTCCCAGGATGATGGGAGTGGAGAGAGAAACTTTCCAGGAGCTCATCAGCAAACAGCCCAGACTGGATTTAACAGTAAAATAGAAAATTTTCTTCCAGAATTAATTTCTTCCAGAAATTAGTGAAAATTAATTTGCTAACTCTTACCCAAATCTTTATTTGCAGGTACTGTTTTGAAAGAAAAGAATAATAATGAAAATAAAAGCTCCCATTTTCCACAGCTCTCTTCAAATCAAATGGGAGCACAATTAAACCACATGTTGTGCAACTCATGTCCAAAAAATGTTATTTTTACCTCTGGTTCTGACCTTCCCTCAAGAGCAGGAGGAAGGAAATAATCAGGAGTGAAGAATTCTTCAGTCCCATCAGGAGGTGAATTAAGGGAACAATGCAATTCCCTTGAATGTCCCTGTGAAAGACATCATCACCTGAGATGATCCCCCTCTCTATTAATAAAAAATACACATTTCAGCCAATAAAAACCACAGAAATTCTGAAATTCTATTTAATTATTCCCTGACTTTCAACCCACCTCCTGCTCCTTGCATTACCTTGGTGGTTCATAAAACAAAATAACGAAAAAGAAGGAGGAATGAGGAGGGGAATTGTTACTCAGATCAGCTCAGGCTAAACTTTTCCATGGACAAGCAGCTCCCTGGATTTCTGTACATACTCTAGAGAGACTCTCAGCTTGCTGAGGAAAGGCTGAGCTCTTGGGAATGGATTTTCCAGACTCTGCCTCCTCCTCTGGTGCTGGGGACTGGCAGCTCCTCCCTAGGATGTCAGAATGGAACAAAATTATTAAACAAAAATAAAGAAATAAATAAAAAAAAGAGATGTGAAGTGAGTGATCTGAGGCACTGCTGGAATATCAATGAGAGCAGGCAGTGGCACTAATTGTCTGCCAGGAACACGGAGAAATAATGACATTTAA